GTCAATGAAAGTTGCCAACAGTGACGCCAGGAGCAACAAACAAGCTGGTAATGCCAGTTTTCCCAGCTGGAAAGGAAATACACCAGGATCCGTGAAAAAGCTCTGAAATGGGAAAACTGCAGTGCACCTGGAAGCTGAGCAATGGTTGTACTGAAAACTGAGTTCAAAATACAATCACATAATCTTTATGGAGTGATTTTATGGAGAAGAGAATGCAAGAGTATTACTGAAGTAAAAGATAAGTGAAATTTATTGCTGTTAAGTATTCAGTTTTCAGTATGATTTATGTACAACAGTTGGTATTTATTTTAAGTTTTTCCATAAAGCAAAGACTTTTAAGTCATGTTATATAGCAAGAAGCTTTCAATTTAACTGTGCATTATCTGAAGGATTTTAAGTTTTAGTGCAAGAATGAGATTTTGACTTTAAGAGATTGTTCTAAGAAAGTTGGCCTGTATGTAGTCATGTAAAGTGCAAACTGAGAAATCTTTTAAACATAAGTGAACTGCAAATGTCTCCTGAAGTATGCTTAATAAATTACTATTGTAAGCATGAAAGTTTTCTGTTAAGTATGTGTTAAATACAAATGCAATTTCTTGGATATTTGTATAAGTTGACTGACGATGCATGCATTACAAATTTAAGTTCAGATTAGTAAATAATAATGAATTAAAGCAAAAGCTACATGTATGAATGCAAGTAATTAAATTTAAGCTCTTCAGCTGACACTAAAGTTTAGTAAACTATTTGCATAGAACATTAGGAAAAGTTTTGGAATTTAAGGTGTTCCTTGATGCCTAGTGTGTCTAAGTCATTAATATGTCAGATTTTGGCCAGGTGGCTCTGAAAAATACTTGTATTATGAAACACATTCCCATATTCAGTATACTCATTAGACAGCAGGGGGGGAATAAAATGGTAACAGAGAATGAATATAAAAAAATTTTTGATGTCAAAATGCAAGTAAATTTAACAATATGTATAAGCTTGTTGCTAAAATATTTTTTCTTCCAGACAACTGGAAGGTGATGAGATGTTTGCAGAAAAGAATGAAATGTCTGTCTGATGTTATGAGGAATCTCTGTAACGGTAAAAATTTTAAATTTTAGTTTTAGATTTTAGATTTGTTGCTTGTAAAGGTTGGCTCAGTTTTAGATTCATTTTGATTACTTAAATTCTGATGGTGAACAATGTAAGATTACTATTATTTTCAATAGCCAGTTATTTTATTATTTAGTTCTTTACTGCCACTTCTCTTTTCATTTCTTTACTAGAATGCAAATCAGGTTCGAAAGTATTCAAGCAGAGGTTTTTCAGATTGTAATATACAACATGTTTCTCCCTCTTAAGGCCATGTTACTAGATTTCACCAGCTCTATAAGAATTGAATTCTTCAGCTTTGCATTGCAGCTCCTGACATTTAAATTGTTATGTATACCAGTGAGAAGTTTCAGTGAACTTCCTGTTAAATCAATTGTGTAGCCTTTAGTTAACTATGTTTTTAATACTGAATTTCACTGTTACGTAAGTTTCATCACCAAAAATGACTGGCTGATTTGTTAAGCATGAGACATGCACTTATGTTAATGTTCAGACTTAATAAAAAGGTTTGTTTTAAAACCTTTGCAACCTTTGCAACTGACTTTGCAGTTGTTTTTAGATGAAGTAATAAGTCACTCCAAGTCTGCAAGGAATTTGAAATTAGTTTATCTTACCAAAGAACATCTGTTTTGTGCATATAGCATTATGGCATTTGTACTATATATATGTATAATATTTTGCACGGAAAATTTAAAAATTATATATATATATATAATATTTCCCATAGAAACAGTAAAAACTATGAATAAAGTAAAAAATGGTATTTTTAGAGCTAATATGTATCCAGAATGTAGAATCCCGAAGTTCATAATATCAGGTTGAATGACCGAAGAAGATAAATTACAAACTTTTTAGATTACAGAAACAGACAGTTAAAGAAAGGACTCACGAACTCTAAATGGTTTGTGCAGGAAAGAAGCAAATCTGTACCTATAGACTGTGCCACTTCCCAAGCGAAAGCAATGAATATGCCAAATTAATCTCGGAGGAGAAAATGCAAGAGATTTTTCCAAACATCTAAAGCAGTTTAAGTGGTTACAGTGATAGAAAAATTAATAAGTGTTGAACAGATTGTCTTTAATAAAGAGTGCTCCTAAGTAAGACAGACATAAATAGGAGTAAACAAGGCTGGAAAGAAATTGAATAGCCGTGCACAAATAAAACTGAAAAGCATTAAGTTAAAGCTACTGTGTACTGGTAAACACACAATGGTTTGAACTAATGTGGTGTTTTAAGCATGTAATATGACATTACTATCTATGACTAACAAAAGCAGTTCAACACATGCATGATGTATGACAAATTCACCAAATGCTTTGATAACAAACTTGCACCATCAATTAGATAACAATAATGATGCTCTCCCCGCAAAAGGATAAAAAGGCATTTTTCAAACTGGACAGCTATCATGTGAAGTGTTGTAATAAAGAGACAGTACCAGTGTAACACAACTGCATAGATTCAGCTCCTCAGTCACGAAATAATTCCATCATTTAAAGCTTATTATTGAGGAGTCTGCTAAGTGAGATGGTGAATTCAGCTTAGCAAATCACTAAATTTTTAAGACTGCAAATCCCCACAGGACTGGGTTTGGTATGGGGAAAAGTATCATATCAGCACCAAGTATTGGGCAAAGTGTGCTGGGAAGTGTGTCTTTTGATGCATCGAAATTACACATATTGATTATGAGTAGAAATGAGCTCTGTCAAACCTCTCATGATAGACTTTCAGGATTGCAGCACCAGTGAATAGATAGACTGTCATTGTGGTCAACATTGTGAGTGAATCCTCTAAAATGAATGTAAAACAGTGATGAACAACAGAATGCTTGCATATAAATTCCAAAAAAAAATGGACAGGCTATTAACAATATCAGTGAAGTTATAACATGAATGGACTGATAGACTTAATGTTAACATTCTCATACATTACATCTAGTTTCTAGTTAAAAAGCACATGTGGAAGAAACAATCACAACAGCTCCATCAGACGAAACTCAAAGTATTTCTTTTCTCAAAATTTTTTATAAAACATGAGTACATTCTATTTAGATTGCATGGTGTTTATTAAACAGTAGTATAGTAAAAACAAATTTATTTAATTAGAGAAACACGCTATTGAACACTGTGCTAAAAGGATATTAAATGTGCATTATAGTACATGTAGGCTTATGTACACATTTCTATACAATTTCGACTGATTCACTATAACACAAGTGCTAACAATATTCCTCTATAGAATAATAGCTTTCAATGTATTTTGAGGGAGATACTAAAAATTTGGTAACTGATGAATATATATCAAGTTTCAAAAACTGATCTACATGGTTATAACAAAAGAAGTATACATATATATAAGGAACACAGTGAAAAAAATCACAATAACATCCCGCATGTAAATATAAAAATTTTGCAGTGTTTAATTCGACAATGTTGGTGATTGTCGGCATCCAAGACATATGGTCATGGTGCTCTTTTTTCATGACTTTGAGGTCCGTATTATAGATCATTCTGGATAATGGACATCAGGATTACGGACTTTGTACTGTATAAGTTATTCTGCTGTATACTTGTATCTTATGTAATGTATTATTCTTCTCATTTTATGATATGTTTTACTGAACTATTATTATATATATCTATGTATTATCCTGCTGCCAGCACCCCAGTATTTCATACTAACCTAATTTGTATTTGTTTGCACCAGTCTCAACGGCTTTTCTACCTTCCTTTTCTGTAACCATCATTCACTGTTATCTATCTAATTAATCCTTTATGTCACGTACTCTTGATTTTTTTCTTATTTTGATACTACTTAGTAATTTTAAAATTGTTATATGGAAGCAGGGCTCGAAGCCCAGGCACCCTAGTGCCCCAAAAACCGTTATTCAGGAGGAGCACAGTTTCAACTTTATAGCATTCTTTCATTTGGATCTTTTAACCAACGTACACAAAACAGAGTCTGAAGTCAATGGATGTTTCAAAAATCTTCCATGTGAAAACAAATGCTTGTATGAATGTATTCTTTTTAATGTTTAAAAAAAAATTACACTTATTTAACACATTGGATCAGAAGAAGGTAAAAGGAAAATTAAATATTAAAAAAAATTAATCACAAAATAAAATTCAACGTAATAAAATAATCAAACTTACATTATTTTATTAGTCAAAAAGCAACTTTCTATACTTGTGTTGTTTATTAATAGCATAACTGAAATCGAATGATGATGTAATGCAGCAAAAAGTAACTACCCGGAACTTATGCAAAATATGAATACTCTCTTATTTTTGAAACATGTTTTGACTGGCAAGTGATCAAACTAAATTTTCAAGACATCAAGAGGGAAAGAAGGTTCTAAGACCTCTAAGAATTATGAAGGTAATTATATTTTCTATGACCTTAAGCATTGTTGATTTAAAAAATATATCCTTCCTGTTCCCCAAAGTCAGGCTTTCCAATCACATAATTTGGTGTCATGGCAGATGCCCAGGTGCACAAGATGCACTCATTGGCAATGCACATGTGTATAACTTTTATCATATTATACCCAGTAGTATTATGAGTGCTATATTTAAGTTTGATTTCCTGTAGGGCTCTTACATGTATCCTTGCGATACAGTAATTAATATGTGCAGCTAGTAACTAGGAGATCCAAGATTCGATTATCAGGGAAAGCATAGCTAATTTTTTCATATTTACTACTATGAAAAATACTATGTTGAGATAAAAGAGCAAAATTCGAAATTTACACCAACATACATTTAACAGCAGAATTTCAAAATCTGATGACAAGCTAATTATGAATAAAATAAGATTTCCAATTTTGTCACAATGCAAAAATTATTTTAAATGTTTTCTTTTAACAAAAGCAGTATTTCAACAAAAACAAATCAACAAACCTATCAAACTCTCCCAGATGGCCGCTATATTTCCTCTTGAAGCTATCTGAGTTTCCCATGTTTCAGGAATGGGCAGTTTCATTCTTTTACCAGCCATTTCTGACAGCCATGCACCAGGCAGACCAGAAGCTTGAAATGACTTTATATCTTCAGGATACCTATAATATTATGCAATTACTAATAAAGTATAACAAATATACCCAATTTCGTATACTTTAAAAATTAATAAAAAAGAGAAAAACCGGTTATTTTTCACTTAATGATAAGATACTTAGTACTCTTAATTGTTTTTAATCTTCCATATCTCCAAAATCCTGATAATTTCCCCATAATGTGGTTTTTAATCCATTTCTGCTGCTATAGTTTCAAACAAATTTTTACAAAGAGATTAGATTAATTATATAGCATATAAAATGACAGTATAGTATTATGTGAAAAGTATTAATGAATAATACTGTAATGCTATGTTTGGCATTGTTTTGTTGACACCCATGCATTTAATAAACCTGAATTATATTTATTTATCACACAAAATTCAGTATTATATTTTAAATTACTAGAAAGATATTGCTTTTTGGCATTCTGAAGAGTGCATTTTACAGACCAAAAGATGTTAACCAGATTACACAGCATAATTTACAAACAATTATGCTACTACAGTACAACAAATTAATTATCACATAAAAATAATATGAATAAAAAAACTTTAGTTATAACAATCTCCTTCTATCAAAGCTTTCATTTTTTAAAAATATATTCCAGTGTCCTAGAGATTAAGGCACTATTACTTAGCAAAGAGCTATGAATATCATATAACAGCTTAAGAAATTCACCTAGAACTACCAATGGAATATGTAAAAACAATGTACTGACAATGCCACAAAAACAACCAAAAAAAAAAAAGCTGTTAGTTAGGAGAAGCAGAAAAAGAAGTCAAACTAAATTAAAGCGCAAAAATTTTTGTCATAAAAGAACTGGAAAAAAAAAAAAAAAAAAGATACACAGAAAGAGAATGCAGATTTTTTAACAACTACTAAGGAAAGGATAAAAAATTAATCTCATCTACAAGAATGAAACCAGGTAAATTAAAAAATATTATGGAAATAAATAAAATAAGGATACTAAGATGAAAAGAAATGAAAAAATTGAAAACAATTTTAATTCTACATTGGGCATTATAAAATTCAAGAATTCAAATTGGCCAGTTGATTTAGGAACTATGACCAACCATACAGGTATTATAGAAGCAAATCAACGAAAGTAACATTTGCATGGAACAAAAATGAAACTCACAGGCCATTAGAAAATGACACTAATACTGCTAGATGATGGAAGTAAACAAATAAAAATAAAACTCATGAATATGTTTTGCACATTCCAGTTCTTGAAGAAGGGCTAACATCCATATGAAAAATCATGAACAAAGGATTTACCATACAACCAAGAAAGGCATTTGTAGAATAAAGGCAAAAGGCATTATCACAGGGATAACAGAAGGAAGTTTTATATAAAATAATCAAATCGCAAGAAGAAAAAACCAAAACCCTGGCTACTGAAAAGAGTAAAAACAACAAGATCTATGGCCAGTTGTTATGACATAGACTATGAAGTTATTAAAAAGCTGGAGAGTAGAGATTTGGGAAGCAGAATAAAGATTAATGCAGAGATCTGAAAAAACAAAGAATGTGAATATTGCTTTAGAAGTAAAATACCTAATCTAAATATACATATAAAATAACAAAACAATTTTAAGAATTTTATGTTTCACTTTTTATAGATTGATATTTTTATTTTTAAATTTATTTATTAATATGATAACATACAAGATAAGCCCATAAAGTAACCAAAGTAAAGTAATTAAAAGATCAAATGATAAAATAGAAATGTGAAAAAATAAATGCATGATTACAAAGAGTGACATCTCAGTTCTTGCTAAAAAGTTTAAACTGGTAATTTTATCCTTTGCATATCAAAACACCAGAGTCCTTTTCATTTTACTGAGAAGGAATTGTTCAAAAAATTTGTATTGAGATGGATCAATGTTATAACATTAAATTTTCTTTCAAGTTAGGTAAATCTGCTTCCAAAACATCAGATGATACGAACAGTATATGGTGATGCATCATTATCAAGAACACGAGTGTATAAGTGGTACAACTGCTTTAAATGTGGGCAAGAACACATTAAAGATGAACCAAAGATAAATAGTTCAAATTCAAAGAACAAGGAGAGCTTTGAGAAAGGTAATTCTTTTATAAAAGCTGATATATGAGTAATTTAGCAACTTTCCGACATGCTCGGGATCAGCAAAGAAAACTGTAGGTTAATTTTAATTGAAAATCTGAAAATGAGGGAGGTTTATAACTGATTCATGACTCAAATGTTGAAAGAACAGCAAAAAGGAAGCAAAAAGAAGGCAAAAAAGCTTGCTGTGAAGATTTGCTGACTACTGCAAGACTCGACTACAATTTCTTAAGTGTATCATAGCAGACGATTAGACCTGGTGTTTACAATATGACACAAAAGACAAAGGCCACAGTGAAAAAGACTGTCTTCTCCCATACAAAAAAAAAAGGCATGGATATCAGAATGAAAGACTAAGGTGATACTAACTGCATTTTGATTACAAATGACTAGTTCACCATGAATTTTTCTCTGGAAATCAATCCATTAATCAGTAAAGGAGGTGCTTAAGTAAGAAACGGTAGAAGGGAAGTTAGGAAGGAATTTTTTTTATTCTGGGCAATGGTTTCTTTTACATGATAATGCTAAGCCCCAAACAGTATTGCCTGTGCAATTATATCTTGCTAAACATTAAACTGTAGGGATAAATCACCCACCCTCATAAGCATATAGTGTAAAGGGAGCCATTCAAAATACATGGTGAGCCGAGAGTCCTCTTGCGAGGCTGATGGTAGGAAACCCTCAGACAGCTGCCCCCCTGGATGTTCTTCCTCAAAATTGCAGCAAAACTGCATGGAAGGGGAATGAAAAAACAGAAGTTCTATAATTGAATTGTATTACTCCACCAAAGGTATGTATTAACTAATGCATTACTCATGGATTTTTTTCAAAATTTTTCTACTAACCTTAAAAATAATAAAAGAATTGAAATTTCTCAATTTTGAAATGGTATGGTTTGAAATTTATCAGATGAAAATGAACTAAACACCAGAAGGTGTGTAGTGACTTAAGAATTTTTTCAAAAATTTTTTTTTCTTCAAAATCTGCAATTTTTACATTAAATTTTTATATTTTGAGTTTGTTAATTTTCACACTAACACTGTAAACTTGCAGTATCCAGACAGTAATGCATTATGCAAAGTACTGTAAGCATTCTTCATTTAAACTAACAAACGTGTACAATATTTTGCATGCAAGCAAAGAAATTGACTATTCTCTTAAAAGAAGGCTCATAATATTTTAATTTTCACACCATAAAATATATGCAACTTAAATTTTATTATAAAACTGAAGCCAGCTTGTAGAGACTAAGATGGCAATACTCTGACAGATTGCATCAGCATGCATAAATTTCATCATCTGGTTTCCTGTTGTGTGGGAGTATGGGGTCAGCCCCTGTCTCACTGCTCAACAGCTCAGTTCATTTTATGCCTTCCTGTACAACACATATCAGTTGAATTAGTGAAATATGTCTTCAGCTTGAACACAGTAAAATGCCCTGTTACTGATAGTCAAAGTGATCTTAGCTATAATATACTGCCTGCAAGAGAAGCTTAAAATGTTATGATGATGACTGGGATTCAAATATAGAACGATAATTCTGGACAATCAAGGAAGCTGTGGTGACATTCCTGAATGATGAAAGCTTTGATGGATCCCAACTTACATCAGCTGGATGCAATGGAACTGCAATGAATGCCAGAAATTCAAAAGGTGTCATTTGTTTACTAGAAAATGAGTTTGGAAGATCTTTGCAGTGGGTGACAGGCATCTTCACTTGAACAAGCTAATGAATAATTAGGATGGATCGACAGTCTTCATGCATTTTATGGACCTATATGCAAGAGCCTCATCAACTCTTGAGTACCCTTCAGAACTTGATTTTCAACCAGCCGAGGAAAATTCACCAGCTATAGGACGAAACGATACTACAGTCAAAAGTTTTTAATCCAGACGTCCAGAATACGGAATGATCTATAATCTGGACCTCAAAGCTACAAACTTTCTGTGCATGCATAAATGCATAATACCTTTACACATGCCCGTATTACGTTTACACGTGCGCATTTAATGTATAACGGATGGTATAAGCTAAGCTAAAATTATCTAATTATCTATTTCAGTTAATGTTGCAGATTGCGTTGTTCCTTAATTTTCTAATTGGATCCGGCTTATTATTTTTGCAGACTGCTAGAGCAATTTATAAAAGTAAGCTTGAACTTTCGATTATGTAAAAAGAGATTTCCGATTTGGAGCTGCCAAAGGATGTACAAACCGAAAGCATATTTCGATGTCCATCAAAGAAAAAGTGGAATTGCTGCAAAAAATGGATAAAGGCATGAAAGAAAGTGACACACGGGTGATTTGTTTCTCTAACCATTCCGAAATCTGTTTATCAATTTCACGCTGCTCCGGGGGGGGGGGGTCGCGCCGTGCAATGAACTGGAAGTTGATCTATCCTTATCTTCAGGGCAGATGTTTTTATTTTATTCAGCTTATAATTCCTTACTAAATGTAGTATTTCATCTCATTGTACTCCATCTTTGATATGATTTAAATCAAATTCCTCCTCATTATAAATATCATGAATACACATCAAATAGTTTTTTGGTTGCAATTTTCTAATTTCGACAATGCGTAATGTCTGCTTTATGCATGCACGCATTGAAAGAAATGTTTAATAAAGTTAATAAAGTAAACAAATAAATATGAAGCTTTTTTTTTTTTGTAAATTTTGATACCCTTTAGATCATAATTGCTCTTTATTTCATAAATTACAGTTTTACATTTTTAATTTTATAATTTCTGCATGCCATCTTACCAGATTTAAACTGATGATCTATAATCCGGAAAAACCGATAATCCAGAATTGCTGAAGTCCTGACGAGTCCGGATTAAAGACTATTGACTGCATAAACCTTTCTACAGATAAGGAAATCTGTTAGATATCAGTCGAGCTGTTTCTTCAAATAAA